CTGCTAACATTTCCCTTTCGTCCCATCTTGGGCCATGAGCCCTCCCATTAGGGTGCAGCACCCCCCGGAAGCGTCCTGTTTGAGTCCTTCACGATGTGACCTGCCATCTGGGAGCTGCTAAGAGCCCATCGCTACGACTCGGAAGTTTTAAAGAAGGAACGTCCCCGACCTCCTTCAGGGCACCGGCCACTGTACCCGGACTCGCCCTCCCTGGGGGACGGCTCTGAACACTCCCTTCTCTCCGAGGCGCCATGGCTCCCAGAGCCAGGGACCCTCTTCCTTCTGGAAGCAGAGCTCAGCGCCGACCCAGGCCACGGTGGGAGGACGGCCAGCCTGGGACTGTGGGTGCGGGTGCGGGTGCGGGTGCGGGCGGGCTGTGCCTGGGAGAGGCCGAATCACGTAGGAGGCCCAGGAGGCCAAGAGCAAGCAAGCCTCCAGGAGGTGGTAGCTCTGCCCATTGTATGCCCAGGCCATGGGCACCCCCAGGTCCCGGTCATGCTCACCTTTGGAGCCTGGCCTCTGAGGCCCTGGGGGGGTGCCTGCAGCCAGCCCTGCCCATTGATGGAGAAGGGTCCAGGGAAGTGTGGAGGGTCCTGGGCACTGGTGATGCTCACCTAACAGGGCAGAGATGTTGGGGTCCCCAGCCCAGTGCCCCAGCATCCCTGTCAAATCCCCAACAGCCCAGCCTGCACACCACCCTCCCAGACCCCTGACACCGACGCTTACCCTAGCCTGGCCCCCTTGGCCCTGATCCTTAATCCTTTCTGTTTTTAAGCCATTTACTCTGTGTGTGTGTGTGTGTGTGTGTGTGTGTTAACTACATTTTTTTTTTTTTTTTTGCATTACAAAAGTGGTATAGAATTTTCATGGAGAATTCAAAAACACAGAGAGCTTGAAGGAACTCGGCCCTGAGAGGTTCCTGTGGGAACAGCCATGGTCACCAAGGGGCGCCCTGAGCGGCCCTCTCCATGAGCGTGTACCCTGCAGAGACTCAGCTGTGCGCAAAAGGCTCCCTCTGCAGGCCATGCCTGGCCAGGCAGGGGCTGAGCCTGGGCTCCCGGTGCTGCCTCCATTCTGTCCCCGCCCCCCATACACACACACACACACACACACACACACACACAGCCCACCTGGGGGCTCACCTGGGCTCCCTGGAGTTCCAGGCCTGGGAGCAAAGTGTAGAGCCGAGCCCCAGGTGTGACTGTTTCCGGCACCTGGATGACCTCCCCAGCTGCCAAGGGGAGATCAGGGAGGCTGTGCTGAGGCCGTGCCTGCCCCCTCCGCCCCCCACCCCCACCCCGCCTGCCGCCCTGGCCTCACCGGGGCTGACAAACCGGCCAGTACACTGGGCATGGTCAGGGTCCCGCCGCACACCCACAGAGAGCGGTCCCTCGGTCACGTCGCTGCCGCATGTCACCTGCAGCTGCAGCTCATAGTGGTTCACGGCCAGGGCGTCCAGCCGGGCGGAGCTGCTCAAGGTCAGCTGCGGCAGGTGAGCGGGGCCGGTGGGGGCTGGGCTTCCTCCCACTGCCCCACCTCTGGCTCTGTGGGTGTAGGTCTGCCCTGCCTTCCCCCTGGTTCCAGCTGGTCCCAGGACCCTACCTGTCCCACATAGAGCCCCTGCCACCTGGCCAGGCTGGGGGGGTTGAAGAAGGTGCTGGGTGGCTGCACCTGGAGCAGCTTCAGGGTGGGCGTGTGAGAAGAGCAGTTGAAGGAGAAGGACCAAAGGGATGGTGCCGGGCCCCTGGCTCTCGGAGACATTTGACGAACCAGGGCAGGCAGTGGGAGGTCTGGGAGGGAGAGGCCGGAGGGCCGGGAGGGCCCCTTGCACACGGAACCCTGCCAGGAGCACAG